TATTTCCATGCAGAATGTATAGAATACAGGTTAAGTCTGCTGCCATATCTCCATAGCCAGATTATCTGTGTTTATCCCAGCTCCACAATTTCCTAGATGTGTGATCTTGAGAAAATATCACTCATCTTTCTGTGTCATTTATAAATAGAGATAAGATGCTTAAATTTTTTGGGCTGTTGTGAGGATTAAGTTAGTACATGAAAAGTAGCCAGTGACTTGCATATAGTAATCCATCTTATTATTATGTCTTCTCTGTATGCCATGTGGACACAGACTAAACCAGTAATTATAACTCCAGAGAGTCCTCACTTGTTAATTCACCAAATTCTTTGCTAAATGCATTGAGATCCTTCAATTCGTAATGATCAAATGAAGAATTCAAGAAAAATAAGATAATACAAAATAGACTTAGCTTTCTCTGAAAGTGGGATATGCCTATGTACAGAGCTCTTCGCAGTGTGTCTCTACATGAAGGATTGTGTTGCTCCCAGGGAGGATCACTGGAGTCCAGTGTTATGTACTGTTGAGGGTTTATTTACGTAACATTTGGGAGACGGCGGGTAGACCGGAGTCCAGGCAAGTGTGCTAGTGTAAATAGCCCACTTGAATGATCCGAGTAATGTGTACATGGTTTCAGGCCCACAGACATATGTATGGAATTGCCAATGTGTTTTAAAATAATGGATTGTTTCATAATGTGGGTACATAATCCTCTGATAATTTTCTCTTTGATGGTCACATAGTCCAATGAAGTACAAATGACAGATACCATCACCAGCAGCAGCAGCAGCACTCACTATTTGATAGATAAGAACACAAGTTCAGCTTTCCACCACTGAAACAGAAAAGGAGCATTAAGTCCCCAAGTTCCTAGATTATTACCTTATTTATTTCTTAATTAATTTGATAAATATTTATTGACAACATATCATTTCCAAAGCTCTGAACCTAACTAGGTTAGAGAAATGAGTGAGAGTTTCTGCTACCGAGGGAGAAAAATCCAGGTAACCAAACAATTACCCATAGATGTGTAAGTAGGATCATAATCACAATAGCAGATGTGAGAGACCTTTTGGACAAAATCCTCACAGAGACACTGGTGTTTCTTATGTTTATTCATGTGCAAAGAGCAGATGAACTCTGATGTGAGTGGAAAGTTAAATAAGAATAACAGGCAATAAGAGGGGAGGATGATGGTGAGAGGGGGTGCTCCAGGGCATGTAAAAGATAAATTGCACAATATTGCAGATATAATTTGATCCTGAGAAGATCTATGGGTAAAGAGCTGCTCTTGGTTCTGAGAAGAAATGAGATGGGAGAAAATCCTCAAGATTCTCCCCATTAATTATCATTTGAAACTTACGTTGCCAAAAGAGAGATACCATTGTGTGAATGTTAAAATTTCAGGCTCGTCTGCTGTCACTGACGGTAGAATGCTGCCCTGATATAAAAATCTTGTAAAACTAATAGAGGCAGAAGGTGGTTCCCAGACGGATGAGGCAGAAAAAGACGTAGCCCAGAAGTTAGTGTGAACAGGAAAAAAAGGATAAATAAAACAAGTGTCCAGTGCACACAGAGCACTGATTGTCCGAGCTATAGGAGGCATCTTGGTACTGTGATTTAGAAGTAGTTTATGGAGCAGGGCCTCTTCAAAAAGGGAGGGCAGACTTGGAGCAGGATGTATCAAAAGGGAAGAAACAATATCTGACAGACATTAAGGACCAAAGTTGCCTCAGCTGGAGAAAATAATCCTTGGCAATAGTAGGTCAGTCTGAATAGCAAGCAGGATTCTGGTTTCAACAACTGAGCTGGAAACCTATGAAGATGACGATGTAAAGTGTTACTGAGGAGTGGGGAGGAGTTAGGATTATGGGAACCTCTCCATGTAAGGCGCTCGATTTACAGGCTTGCCTTTGAATCAGCAGACAATTTAAGCCAAGGGGTGCTGCCAAGCAAGACTGGCTTCAAACAGACTTGGGAACGGTGTGTTTCCGAGGCTGACTCCCACCCTCCACCTCATTTTCCATCAACCTCTCCCCTGTCCCTCAGGACTGACCCTGGCCAATTTCAGCCAAATTTCATGCCGTGCTGTAACTAGGAAAGACCCCTAGTTTGTATCGAGTTTAATTATCTGTATTTTCAAAATTTGTATCTGAACGAAGTAAATTATTCAAGATTATGCAAATCAAGACTGAAATCAAGACTCATGCCATTAATATGTATTGGGTGCCTACTGTGTTCTAGCTACTGTTCTGTTTACTGAGAAGAGAGGAGTGAAGACAAGTTCCTTTTCAGACTTTCTGTCATTGCTCAGTCTGAACTCAGCATCTGAATTCCCTTACCTTGGCTCTTGGGAGTTTCCAGCCATCATTTTTGAGTTTTCCCCATCCTCTGCTATTACCTACCCACAAGGCATGTTGTACTCCCTTCCTACACATTTCTAACCCTACCATCCTACCTCCTCTCCAAACTGTGGCTCAGAAAAGTATCTGCCACATTGTCACTGTTTCCAAACTGGAGATTATGGGTATTTGAGAGTACAAAAAAATGTACCAAGGTCCAGGAAGGAATAGTTGCAAAGATCAGATTCACCAATTTCAACTCCCTTATAAGCTCTTCTTAAAGTTTATCTCCTTGAGAAAGTGTTTCTTTTCCTTTCTCACTTCTCTTTTCAAAACCATTCCTCCCTCCTCACAAGGAAAGGCATAACTGAATTGTGCTGCGTGGAAGTGCCCCCAGGGGCTAAGTTAGTGCCAACGCCAACATCGGTGCTCAGAAAGTGAATGACTAATAACTATGTAGCAAATCCTTCAGCACTTCAGTGGCTTCCAATCCATTTTTTCAAAACAGTTGACATAGGAGCTAATCAAGTTGTCCACTAATAGTTCAGTAAAAATAATTTTGATGATAGATTACTGTATATTTTTGGCACATAACTAATAAAAATTCAAATAATTTAGTGTTATTACTATAATGAAACAACTGTCATTCTGGAGCTATAGTACATCAATGTCACATATGAACTAATTTTCTCGATTTTTATATATAAAAGTAAAAGTAAAAATGGAATTGAGGCAATAATCTTTCTTATTGTGGTAATTAGTCTTCCTAGACGTACACAGGCATCGATGAAAAATGCAACCCACATGATTATAAGATAGTTTTCCAATCAATTTTTAAAATTTTGTCCAATATATTTTCCAAAAAATTTTATGTATTTATATTGCTTTGGTTAAATGTATGCTAATTATATAATATCTAAAGGAAATCTTTTATAAAGCATTTATAGTCTCAAGAGTACAGAAAACAAAAATCACATAGATATAGAGGAAATCCATAAAAAACTTACAATTATAAAAATATATTACAATAGCATGCATTGTGAGTTTGGTAAGATAAATGATGTAAAATTTTCATTTTTTTAAAGACATTTATGTAATTTTTAAAAAAGTATTAGTGGATATCATTATCATAGCACTGATATTTAAATTCCATTGAATATATTAAGAAATAACATAATAGTTTCATTTAAAAGGTCAGTACTTACACTGCAGTGAAAATTAGAGTCCCTGAAAGTATTTAAATTTTTGATAAAAAATAGATGTCAAGTTAAAGATACGCAAGCTGGTATATCGTCTTTTAAGTTTCTTTTTAAAAAAAATGTGAAGGTAAGTATGTAGGTCCTACCACAAATGAAAACTCTTGATAGCATCTAACGTGTGACCCAATCTTTCACCGGAGGGCTTCTGAAGACACCAGTCCTTGGCAATACTGACATGAGAATGGAAAGACAGACTGCTTGGAGGTGACTGCGCTTTCCATTCTGCCCCCTCACCAGCTGCATCAGCCTCCTGTGGCTGCTGCAACAAATCGCCATAAATTGGGTGGCTTAAAACAACAGAGATTTATTCTCTCCCAGTTCTGGGGGGTCAGAAGTCTGAAATTACTGTCGTTTGGCAGAATTCAAGGTGTTGGCAAGGCTGCACTCCCTCTGGAGGATCTCGGGGAGAATTGCTTCCTTGCTTCTTTCAACTTAGGGTGGCTGCCAGCATTCTTTATCTTGTGACCACATCTCTCCAGTCTTCAAGGCTAACATCTCCACAAATCTCTCTCTGCTGCATTTTCACACTGCCTTCTCCTCTGCCTCTGTCATATGTGGACCCTTGTGATTGCATCTAAGGCCCACCCGGACGATCCAGGACAATTCTCCTCGTCTCAAAATCCTAAATTTAATTACATCTGCAACATCTTTGCCATATGATGTAACATTTACAGGTTTTGGGGATTAGTGCATGCACAACGTTGGGAGCCATTTCTCAACCTACCATATCAGCTCTATAAGTGAGACAGCCTACCTCTAGCACAAAAAATATACTCAAAAATATTTGTAAAGGGAATGGAAAAATCACTATTTTCTAAAGCGGGGGTTCCTCTTTTCCTCCATCCATCATCTCCAGTCGTAAATAAACACTTTTCAAACCGATCTTCTTCCTGCCATGCTGCTTTACACTATAGCTCAAGCAATCTTTTGAGCTACTATAACACTTCCTCTTAGTCCAATTTCCCTTGAGAGATAAGTCCTCAGACTCCAGCTTGCTGTCACTCCTTCTTTTACTCATTCATTCAAAAAATATTGAGTAAAGGTGCTATGGAGCTTAGGACTTTGTAGGGAAGTGAGGGATGAGCGTGTGCTGGATAAGAAAGTAAGAATCTAAATACTAAGGTGGTTCTGAAATGACTCACTAAGTGTTTATAGAATAGCCGCTGCCGTTAAGGTTGCTAAGTTACCGAATACAATGCTCAATCAAGTCTGAGAACTTTGCTTTTGAGGTGGGAGATGAAACAACAAGGTGAAGGGAAAAAATGATGTCATAATAATTGAGAATATATGGCCATGCCTCTTCAGAGGTTATAATCTGTGAAGGATTTTAGTGATTTTGTCCACCCATCTTTCAATCTCTTCCTGTGATTTTTTTCAGGCACCTAAGTGGACAGAGACTATGAGCAATTTGAGCAGAGGCCACATAGAGGAGTTCGTCTTGGTGGGCTTCCCCGCCTCTCCACTCTGCCAGCTGCTCCTCTTTGTTTTCTTCCTTGCGCTTTATCTGCTGACATTGTTGGAGAATGCACTCATCATCCTCACGATCTGGCTCACTCCAAGCCTTCATCGCCCCATGTACTTTTTTCTTGGCCATCTCTCCTTCCTGGAGCTATGGTACATTAATGTCACTCTTCCCCGGCTCTTGGGCGCCTTTCTTACCCAAGACGGTAGAGTCTCCTATGTAGGATGCATGACTCAACTTTACTTCTTCATTGCCTTAGCCTGCACAGAATGTGTGCTGTTGGCAGTTATGGCCTATGACCGCTACCTGGCCATCTGTGAACCCCTCCGTTACCCAAGTCTCATGCCTCCCAGTCTGACCACTCGCCTTGCTGCTGCCTGTTGGGGCAGTGGCTTCTTCAGCTCCATGATGAAGCTTCTTTTTATTTCCCGACTGTCCTACTGTGGACCCAACATCATCAACCACTTTTTCTGTGATATCTCCCCACTGCTCAACCTCACCTGCTCTGACAAGGAGCAAGCAGAGCTAGTAGACTTCCTCTTGGCCTTGGTGATGATTCTACTCCCTCTGTTGGCTGTGGTTTCATCATATGCTGCCATCCTTGTAGCCATTCTAAAGATCCCCACTGCCCAAGGACGTCGCAAAGCCTTCTCTACTTGTGCTTCTCACCTGGCAGTGGTTGTTATCTACTACTCTTCCACTCTCTTTACCTATGCACGTCCCCGGGCCATGTACACCTTCAACCACAACAAGATCATCTCTGTGCTTTACACTATCATTGTACCATTCCTCAACCCAGCCATCTACTGCCTGAGGAACAAGGAGGTGAAGGATGCCTTCAGGAAGACAGTGCTGGGCAGATGCCACTATCATAGGGATGTTCCAGACTGATGTACAACAGATTCTTGCAGGGAATGTTGTGTTTACTATCCTGTTTCCCTAAGTTAATTTGATAACAGGTGTGGCCTTTGATAGTTTGTGAGTTTGATTGTTTGGTGGACCTTCTGGCATATAATACAGCACACAATAAGCATTCAATAAATAGCAATTTCCCTCATTACTGTCATTTTTTCATTATCAGTATCATTATATGCTTTCTAATAGATGTGCTGCTCTATTAACCATGCATCAAACTCACTCTTATTCAAACTGAGGTTGGAGAATTGGCTTTCTCTGAGACGTATGTGGAAAGCAAAGCTCCAAGCATCTTTGTAACTATGTGGAGAAGGTAACAAGCTGATTATAAAGTTTACCATTCCCAATTATATGATATAAAATTGTGCCAAGATATCACTGAATGACTCAGTGAAGCTCCTCCTTTTAAAAATGATCAAAACATATAATAACTCTGTGTTAGAATATCAAACATAGAACATTTTTCTCCTCTTAGCCATTTTGGCCATGATTTTCACACATGAAACTCATTTTCTAGATATTTGCCTACATCCTAAAAGGGACTAGATAGAAAATGTCAACTGATACAAATGCTGCTTGTATGACTCTGGTCATGTCACCTTTTTTTCCCATTGGCAGATCGTAGAGCTCTTAATTTATTCTTTTTCTAGTGTGAGAGATTCCCCTAGTGCATTAATTGGTGTTTATAGGTTACTAATTACTTCTTTCAGAGATTTCTCCAAATATTCTATTTAACTCCACCAGTGGTGCTTTTTAAATAAAATGTGCTTTGCAAATGGTTCTGATTTGCAGCTCAGTGTCAGTTACGAAAAGAAATGGGCATTTTTAGCTGCCTAGCCAATAATGACCTCATTTTTCTTTGCTAGGATAACATAATTTATTTTGAAGTTGAAAACATGCTGAAATCAGGCAATAAATCTACATCTCTATCATACATTTTATATCTCAGCTTCTCTTGGAGCTAAGATTGGCTATGTATCTCATTTATTTTCCAATAAAATATCAATTGAATTCTGCCAGGGAATCTATCTTTTTAAGAGAAAGATGTGCTGGCACTGGTGCAAGCGTGACCGTTTCCCTTTTTCGAACTTGGATTTGAGGCCTCGAGCTCCAGCAGTAATCTAGGAGGTAGTTAAACATGGGAGGAAGGTCAACACATTGAGGGTTGAGGTACAGAAATGTATGGAAATCATGAGTTTGATGATATGGTTGAAAATTGAACCAGCACCATCACCTACCTACACCCATGACTTTTACTATATGATAAAAATTAACTCCCACTCGTGGAACTATAAGTTTTGTTTTCTATTATTTGTACCTTAGTATGCTTGATGTAATATATTTGGCATAATTTGTTATTTGCATTCTTTTAGAATTTTTGAAATGGTTTTTAGTTTTAGGTTTTTAATTTTTTTTTTCAAATGAAATATGTTTTTCTAAGTTTTCAGAGACAAACCATGCCAAAATCTCATGTGTTGCCATTCTGTCAGGTTGTAATGGTTTTCATCTCTTTAAAGTTGTAATTCACAAAGCTAGCCAAAAAAAGGAAGATTATTTCTTTCCAGACACTATGACTGCAATTCCAGTAGCTACTATTGAGACCATTTTATTTATTTTATTTTACTATACTTTGCTTTAGTTTTATTTTATTTTACTTTTTTGTGGTTGTTTTAGGGATTTTTTTAGGTTCTGAATGTGTACTCAGTGCAGCCAGCTTGTCACCAGATGGAGATGATAGAGAGCAAGCAGTAGAGTAGCATTCAGTTTGGTTAATTATGATGTTTTAAATGAAATTAATCTTTAAAATAACAGCACTATTCATCCAGTTGACTAAGAATGTACTTGCATTTAAAAAGAAAACATAAATTATGTAATTTTTATTCATAAAATACTTTATAGATGGCGCAGGACATGGTTAGCTGCCTCAAAATTTTTGTGGCTTAAGAATAGTTCCTGGCCGGGCGCGGTGGCTCACGCCTGTAATCCTAGCACTCCGGGAGGCTGAGGCGGGAGGATTGTTTGAGCTCAGGAGTTCGAAACCAGCCTGAGCAAGAGCAAGACCCCATCTCTACTAAAAATAGAAAGAAATTAATTGGACAACTAAAAATGTATAGAAAAAATTAGCCAGGCATGGTGGCACATGCCTGTAGTCCCAGCTACTCGGGAGGCTGAGGCAGGAGGATAGCTTGAGCCCAGAAGTTTGAGGTTGCTGTGAGCTAGGCCAACGCCACGGCACTCACTCTAGCCAGGGCAACAGAGCAAGACTCTGTCTTAAAAAAAAAAAAAAAAAAAAAGAATAGTTCCTGACACTCAGAAGATACCCAGTAAATATTTATTGAATGAATGGTCAGGTTTGCTCAGAATGGTAGCACAGACTAGCACCGAAGAACCAGTGGTGAGCCAGGAGACCACCTGGACATGAATGGAATGTTAGCCCAATTTTCTGTAAAAGAAGCTTTCTTCTGAAATTTTGTACCAAATTAGAAAATAATGACTAAATAGTTATTACTCCTAGAAATATGAACTAGGCTCTTGGTAATCTTAGGATTTTGCTACAGTTCTTTAAGGGAATTCTGTTATTTTAATAATGAGCTCATCTTTCCCAACTCCAGAAAAGTGCAGGTTCCTACCTTATCCAACACCCTTCATTGTAGTGTGTATCAAATCCCAGCAGATCCTGCTCACTCTCTGCTGTGGTCCTGGGTCTGTGGTTCTGAGGCTTATCATCCCTGAGTGTGAAATATCCTAACCCCTGAAGCAAAATATATACCGAAAGAGATAATTGTCCAATTTCCATGCCACTGTGTTTTCCATACAGTCTTACTACCCTCTACCTTCTCTGAATACATTTTTGTGCTTCTAAATGTGTACTATTTGTAGATTATAAGAGTAAATATATACATATTCTTATTCTTTTTTGAAAATACAGACATCATCTGAATGCAGTATATTTATCGTTCACATCTACTGAGTTACTGATGCAAGAAGGTCATGTCTGTGTACAAAGTCTATATTTGAAAGCACAATATCTGAGTGTGTTTGGAGTTTGTATATGCATGTGTGCTCATATACTTGGGTCTCCAAATAAGGATGGGTACTTACCATTTTTATTTTCTGAATGACTTGGATTATAGCACTATCTCTTCCCAGAGGACCTTATTACTTCTGAGATCATTCCTTAGAAAAAGAATCTCTCTCACACACACACACACACATGTGTGCACTTTCCCCTCAACTTCCTCTTCCCAGTGTTGGTTGGGAAGGAGGGGCAATGGACTTCCAGTAAGTCTAAGGTCTCTCTGGTGCCTCAAGATTGAAGGCTGTGTCTCTTGGGAGGTCTTGTGGGTGGAAAGGAGTTGGCTTGTGCTCCTCCAGTAGCTTGGAGGCAGACAGATAGCTCCATTCTTTGCCTTCTTCAAACTCATCAGAGATGCAAACCAGACTTGCTCAGCAACTCTCTAGTCTTATGGAAATTGCCTTCCTCTTCTTGGTCTACATGATTTCTTCTCTTTTCTCAGTGTAAGCTGGCCATCCCTGACAAAACTAGATAGGAAAAGAGTTACATTACCAAGAAAATGGTGAGTTGAAAAGTTTCCAAAAGTAGAATTTAGCCAGTTTTTAATTACTTATTATTACAAAAGAAAGCAAGAAATAATTGAAAATCAATTTTATTTAATTTACTGATTCATCAAAAATTTCATTTTATTGACTTAATAATCACTTATCTTCTTTGAGCCTATAATGAGTAGTGCCACAACAGGTTGAGAATGAGGAGGGAACTTGGCGTATATACAGATTAATTTCAGCTCAACAAAGATTTCTTTAGCCATATGAAAAATGGCAGGGATTGACAGGTATTGTGTAATGCGGATTTTCATGTTATTTTAAGACTCTACTCTGAGAATCCACTCTAGATGAAATAGCCTGGAGTCTCTGAAATTTCCCAGTGGCCTGTTTTCCTGAAGATGCTTCAAGTTAGTGCATTAGTCCAACTCTCTGCTTTACAATGTGCAGAGTCCAGGTCTGCTCTGACTTACGAGACAGAAAGAGAGAAAATAACATAGAAGATGGAATTAGTGTGTGAGAGTACATAGATATATGTATGTGAGGAGTGGTGGGTGGAACATAGGTATATGAGTATGTGTCTATATTTTTATGTTAAATAAGAGCAAGGCATGGCAAATGGGATGGTGGTTACAAGAGTTTTGATTAGTTATGACTTTTTCCTCCTGCTTGTTTCTTTGATTTTTTATTTGACATATAATAATTGTACACATTTATAGGATACATAGTGATGTTTCAATAAATATAATGTATAGTGATCAGATGAGGGTAATTAACATAACCATTATCTCAAACATTTATCATTTCTTTGTATTGGGAACATTCAATAGCCTCCTTCTAGCTATTTGAAACTATATAATATATTATTGTTAGCTGTAGTCATCCTGCAGTGCTATAAAACACTAGAATTTCACTTCTATTCTTAGTACCATAGAGCAAGAAAATAAGACTCCCTTTCTGCTATGCTGATTATCCAAAAATGCATCATATCATGTAGTCACATTTATCCTCAACTTGAAATCCTGTGATAAACTGCAAAGATCAATCATGTTCAAAATGAGACCCATTGAATTTAAGCCACTTTTCCCAAACTATCTAGATGGAAAAAAAATTATTTCAAAACACAGGCCATGATTTTGGAAAGTTATAAAGAGTGTAGAGGGCCAGGGATATGAAGTATAGATTTTCCCCCTAAAGTGTTCAAAGCCAACTGACAGTAGAAACTGAGAGGTGCAGAAGGATTTGCTACATGGCAGCAAGGTATTCTGTCCTGCTGTAAACTTAGGAGCTGCTATGCATATAACCCTGAGGCATAGTTGTTCCTAAGATTTCCCGGGAAAAGGAAGATGGACTAGAATTACATCCCTTTAAAAGTGATTTGAAGAAGTAAGCACGTGTTTATCCCCTTTAGA